AAAAAGGTCCATAAAGAGAGACCCAGAAGGTCACTTCATAATACTCAAGGGAAGAATCCATCAAGAAGACATAAATATTGTAAATATATATATGCACCCAACATAGGAGCACCGAAATACATAAAGAAAATCTTAGAGGACTTCAAGAAAGATATGGACAGCAACACAATTATAGTGGGAGATTTTAACACCCCACTATCAAAAATGTACAGATCTTCTAAACAAAATATCAACAAAGATATTGTGGCATTGAACAATACCCTCGATGAAATGGACTTTACTGATATATATAGGGCCCTCCATCCAAAAGAAGCTAAATATACATTCTTTTCAAATGTACATGGAACATTCTCAAAGATAGACCACATGATAGGACACAAAACAAGCCTCAAGAATTTCAAAAAAATTGAAATCATACCAAGCATTTTTCTCAGACCACAAGGGACTGAAGCTAGAAACCAACCCCAAGGAAAAAAAAACAAAAACACTCAAATTCATAGAGATTAAATAGCATGCTATCAAACAATAAATGGGTCAAGAATGATATTAGGGAAGAAATCAAAAGGTTTCTGGAAACAAATGAAAATGAACTCACAACAACCCAAAACTTACGGGACACAGCCAAGGCAGTCCTGAGAGGGAAGTTCATAGCGATACAGGCCCACCTAAAAAGGTTAGAAACATTCCAAACAAACAACCTAACCCTACATCTACAATAACTCGAGGAACAACAACAAAGGCAGCCCAGAGCAAGCAGAAGGAAGGAAATAACCAAGATCAGAGCAGAATTAAATGACATAGAGACTAAAAGCACAATTCTAAGGATCAATGAATCCAAGAGCTGGTTCTTTGAAAAGATAAACAAAATCAACAAGCCTTTAAGCAGACTCATCAAGAAAAAAAGAGAGAAGACCCAAATAAACACAATCAGAAATGAAAGAGGAGAGATTACAACAGATACCACAGAAATACAAAGTATTGTAAGAAATTACTACAAAGAGCTGTATGCCAAGAAATTTGAAAACCTAAGTGAAATGGACAACTTTCTAGAAAAAATATAATCTTCCAAAACTCAATGAAAAAGAAGCAGAAAGCCTGAACAGACCAATAACAACAAAAGAAATTGAAGAAGTAATCAAAAAACTCCCAACACACAAAAGCCCAGGATCAGATGGTTTCACAGGACAATTCTACAAAGCATTTAAGGAAGAGCTAACCCCTATCCTTCACAGACTATTCCAAAAAATCCAAAAAGATGGGAGTCTCCCAAACTCTTTTTATGAGGCCAACATCATCCTAATTCCAAAACCAAATAAAGACACAACAAAGAAAGAAAACTTCAGGCCAATATCACTGATGAACATTGACGCTAAAATCCTCAACAAAATACTGGCAAACCGCATCCAACAATACATTAAAAAGATCATACACCATGACCAAGTGGGATTCATTCCAGGGATGCAAGGATGGTTCAATATTCGCAAGTCAGTAAATGTAATACATCACATAAACAAAAGCAAAAACAAAAACCACATGATCATATCAATTGATGCAGAAAAAGCATTTGATAAGGTACATCACCCATTCATGATAAAAACACTCAGCAAAGTGGGAATAGAGGGAGCATTCCTCAACATAATAAAGGCCATATATGAGAGACCTTCAGCCAACATCATACTCAATGGCCAAAAGTTAAAATCTTTTCCACTAAGATCAGCAACAAGACAAGGCTGTCCACTTTCACCACTTCTATTCAATATAGTACTGGAAGTTTTAGCCACAGCAATCAGACAAGAAAAAGAAATAAAAGGCATCCAAATCGGAAAGGAGGAAACAAAACTGTCACTGTTTGCAGATGACATGATAAAATCCTACAGACTCTACCAAAAAACTGCTTGACCTAATAAATGAATTTGGCAAAACAGCAGGATACAAAGTCAATATCCAGAAATCAAAGGCATTTCTATACACCAACAATGAAACAGCAGAAACAGAGATCAAGGAAAAAATCCCATTTGAAATAGCAAAAAGAAAAATAAAATATCTAGGAATAAACCTAACCAAAGAGGTAAAAGACCTATATTCAGAAAACCATACAACACTGAAGAAAGAAATCAAGGAAGACACAAACAAATGGAAACATATACCGTGTTCATGGATTGGAAGAATTAATATCATCAAAATGTCCATACTCCCCAAAGCAATTTACACATTCAATGCAATTCCTATTAAAATACCAATGGCATATTTCACAGACATAGAACAAACACTTCAAAAATTTATATGGAATTATAAACGACCCCGAATAGCTGCTGCAATTTTGAGAAAGAAGAGTAAAGTAGGAGGGATCACAATACCCGACACTAAACTATACTACAAGGCCACTGTAATTAAAACAGCCTGGTACTGGCATAAAAACAGGCACAATAGAGCAATGTAAATATAGACCAATGGAACAGAACAGAGAGCCCAGAAATAAGCCCAAGTCTCTATGGTCAATTAATATTTGACAAAGGAGGCAGCAACATAAAATGGAGTAAAAATAGCCTCTTCAACAAATGGTGTTGGGAGAACTGGACAGCCACATGCAAAAAAATGAAACTTGAGCACCAACTTACACCATATACAAAAATAAATTCAAGGTGGATAAAAGATAACACAGCACTCCAGAGAGCATCTAGGGGTAAAGTACTTGTAGCCTGACGAACGCTTACACATGCCCATCCTCTTTACTAACTTGAGTTGATATGTGAACATCAGAATTCCCACAAAATTTTACATGAAAGATTCACTGAATAGACCTCTGGCCAAGATGGAGGCATAGACAGACACACTGGGCCTCCTCACACAACCAAAAGAAGAACAACAACAAATTTAAAAACAAAAAACAACCAGAACTGCCACAAAGTCCAACTGTATGGAAATCTGACAGCCAAGCAGTTAAAGAAGAAACACTCACCCAGACCAGTTGGAGGGGTGGAGACAGGCAGCCGGGTAGAGAGGACTCGAGGCAAGGCAGCAGATGGAGGACCAGGGCAGTTCCATATTTGTATGCAGATAAACCAAGAGGAACAACTGGGGAGCGAGACAGACCCACAACCCAAGGTTCCCACACGGGGATATAAAGCCTCAAAGGTGTTTCTCCCGCTGCTGCCTCAACCCCCACAGGTGCTCACTGAGATTCTCACTGAGTGAGAACACCTGTGGGGGTTGAGGCAGCAGCGGGAGAAACTCCCAGCCTCACAGGAGAGTCCATTGGAGAGACCCATGGGGTCCTAAAACATACACAAGCCCACCCACCCAGGAATCAGCATCAGAAGGGCCCAATTTTCTTGTGGGAAGTGGGGGGAAGTGACTGAAAGCTGGCAGAGAGCCCAACAAGCCACATTGTTCCCTCTTGGACCCCTCCCCCACCTACTGCATCACTATGCAGCCATGGGGGTTGCCCTGCCCTGGTGAACACCTAAGGCTCCGCCCCTTACTACATGACACATGCATGGAGACAAAAAAAAAGTGGCCCAAATGAAAGAACAAATCAAAGCTCCAGTAAAAATACAACTAAGCGAAGAAGAGATAGCCAACCTATCAGATGCAGAGTTCAAAACACTAGCAATCAGGATGCTCACAGAATTGGTTGAATATGGTCACAAATTAGAGGAAAAACTGAAGGCTATGCTAAGTGAAATAAAGGAAAATGTACAGGGAACCAACAGTGACGGGAAGGAGACCAGGGCTCAAATCAATGGTTTGGACCAGAAGGAAGAAACAAGAATTCAAAAAAATGAGGAGAGTCTTAGGAACCTACAGGACATCTTTAAATGTTCCGCCATCCAAGCCATAGGGGTGTCAGAAGGAGAAGAGGAAGAGCAAGAAACTGAAACTTATTTGAACAAATAATGGGGAACTTCCCCAATCTGGCAAAGGAAATAGACTATCAGGAAGTCTAGGAAGCTCAGAGAGTCCCAAAGAAGTTGGATCCAAGGAGGAACACACCAAGGCACATCATAATTACATTACCCAAGATTAAACATAAGGAGAGAATCTTAAAAGCAGCAAGAGAAAAGGAGACAGTTACCTACAAAGGAGTTCCCATAAGACTGTCAGCTGATTTCTCAAAAGTAACATTGTAGGCAAGAAGGGGCTGGAAAGAAGTATTCAAAGTCATGAAAGGCAGGGACCTACATCCAAGACTGCCTCCAGCAAAGCTATCATTTAGAATGGAAGGGCAGATAAAGTGCTTCCCAGATAAGGCCAAGTTAAAGGAGTTTGCCATCACCAAGCCCTTATTATATGAAATGTTAAAGGGACTTCTGTAAGAAAAAGAAGATAAAAAATATGAACAGTAAAGTGACAGCAAATTCAGTTATTAACAACCAAAACTAAAACAAAAATAAAAACAAACACAAACTAAGCAAACAACTAAAAAAGGAACAATCACAGAAATGGAGATCTCCTGGAGGGTTATCAGTGCAGGAGGGGAGGGGTAGGGAGGGGGAAAAGGTACAGAGAATAAGTAGCATAAACAGTGGATAAAAAATAGACAGGGGGAGGTTAAGAACAGTATAGGAAATGTAGAAGCCAAAGAACTTACATGTAAGATCCATACACATGAACTAAGGGGGGGAATGGGGGTGGGAGGGGGTGTACAAGGTGGAGGGGAATAAAGGGGGAAGGCAATGGGACAACTGTAATAGCATAACCAATAAAATATATTAAAAAATAACTCTTTTAAAAAATATGATTCACTGAGTAGATTTTCTAAAAAACAATGGTTGTATACACTGTTAACCTTTACTTTCATCAAAAACGATGCCTCGCAACATAAACCACTGCAAGGAGAATAATTCACCCACTGCTAGAATAGCAGAAGAATGTTCCCGTTAAACCAGGGACAAAGAGAGCAGATAGGAGAGAGTGGCAGGTTTTCCTTTCTTCCGTGCCCAAGAAGACTGTCATTAAGCTTGGAAGAATGCAGGTGAGTATTTTGAAGGAAAACTTACTTGGATTCAACCTTCTGCTTATTTTTCTTCGCAACATTTGTAAAAGGAAGAGGAAATCAACTTTAAATTCATTGCTGAGCATGTCGGGATTAGTGATTAATTCTGACATCCTAATGTTATCTTTGATAGACTTCGAAGCCGTCGACCGAGGGACCAGGGGCAACTGCATCTGGTAACTGTAGTCCGTGAAATTCACAGGGTCATCCTGGACACTTTTAATTCTGGAAAGAAAAAATAAAATACTGTTGACAAGGCATGTTTCAGGAGTGAGACTTACACAGTATTATCAACAGTTTTATAATAAGTTGTACTACTAGAAAACTCCAAATAACTCACTCTCGCTGTGTTAACAAGGTGTAAACTTCTTGTATCAGTATTTCGGGTACTCCTGACTTACAGTGAATTGTTCCATAGATTAGTTCTTTAGGTAACTTCAGGTTCTTTTTGGCCAGGAACTTTAACAGTAGAAAGAAAACATTTCCATCATAAGAAGTCCTATAAAAATACCCAGTTACTATAAATTCACTCTCATCCCCCTTGTACCTGTCAGCTAATTTTATTAACGTGACAATTATTAAAAGGCCTTATTTAGCAGTAAAACCCTTACATCCCACTCCAACTTGAAACAAGTATGCTCCGTTTCATAGTGACTCTTGACCTAAACTTTAATAACCTTCGTTCCAATACGAGGAGACAGGCTGCCAACTCGGTCACATTATTTCCTGGCACAGTCATACATGTCCAGAAAGAAACCCAGGGCCTTGGGAACACACCTTTTAAAACTCACGCCTCACAGTTAAGAGTGTCAGTGACTGCTAATTTACCTTTTTCAACTGGGCCCAGTTATCCAACTTGACTTTCAAGGAAGTTCCGTTTCTGAAGGAGGACAGTCTAAGTTCCCAGGGAAAGTGTATAGCGAATATTTCTGCGATCAGGAAGCCATTGGAAAAATCCCTGGTCCAGCGCAATAGGGAAATGAAATGAAATACAGTTACGTACACCATTCGTGTTACAGTTACCGCCAGTCTAATATTCTGTACGGACAGCAGGTTGCTTGTCCGGTGTTCCTGAAGAACCTCGACTCGTTTCTTTCAAGTTACCTGACCATTCTCTATTAATCTGCTCAAGTCTAGACTGTGAGGATGGGTTGGAGCGACACGTTTCATCAGACTGTTTTCAGGCCCGTGCCCTAGGAGTCCAGGGGTGTCTGTGGGTGTGGGTGTGGGTGTGGGTGTGCATGATGGGAGGGGCGGGTGGCGCGGGTCCACCTGGCCAGGCTTCCCTCGCACCTGTTGACGTTCCTGGGGAAGAAGGTGAGGTCCAGGCCCTGGAGCCAGCGCAGGAGGGTCGGAGACAGGCGGCAGCTCTTCGGCAGGTTCGGATACACCAGGTACTTCTTAGGCCTCCTGGGGGCGGGTGCTGAGGGCTGTGGCGGAGGTGGTGGTGAAGGTAACTTGGGTGTGTCTGCCACGGGCACTTTCAAAGTCACTGTCTTGCCACCGGCGGCAGCCATGGGGCATCTGGGTTTCTATAGCAGCACCAGTAGAGGGCGGGGCTTTTGTGAGGGGGCGAGTCTCGTGGGTGGGGGCGGGGCCTCGTGGGGGCGGGGCCTCAGCAGAGACGTGTGCCGGGCCTTCTGTGGTCTGCAGTTTGAGGACTCGACACTCTGGGTTGCACGATACCTTCCTGGCGCCTTTGGGCACAGATTCCTGGCTCCTTTGGGCACGGAGGTGCTCTAGGGAGCTTCACCCGTGGGCCGGCTTTCCCTGTGTTCTAGTTGTCCTCGCTAATTTGGAACACCCTTGAGGTTTACATTTGGGGGGGAGGGTCTCTAAGGCCAGCTGGATGGCCTGTTTTCAGCGTTTTTTATTCTCAGTTACAGGTAACCCACATCGCGAAGGCCTGTTTCTGGCCAAGCACGTTAGGGAGGCTGCGAGGAAGCTGCAGAGGACGAGGGCGGTTTTGTTCGGCGACGGGAAACGATAGGGTTTTTCCCTTCTCAACACCAAGCCCAGACCCAGAGACCGAAGTAACCACACGCGGTGGTTTACAAGACAAATTCCTAACTGAAGGCAAGTCGTGGTGGGTAGCCGCAAGTTCGGCCTGTAGCTCCCTGGACAAAGGTTATCTGTGACTTCGAAACGGTCTATCGTCCCTGTGCCTCTAAGATAACATACCTTTGCCACGTCAGGGCAACCTTCTTTTGCACACTCCTCAGTGGTCAACTGCCCGCCCGGACCAGAGCAGGAGACGACAATGACCACGTTGTCTTGTCTCCCCCACGGTACGCCACCCCCACACGCAGTGGACGTTAGCTCTCCTGTCCCCACCAACGTAAACGAAACGTGCCTCCACTTCAGTTTTCATCCAGTCCCAGGGACTTCCCCGCTTTGCATTCTCCCACCTCCCTAATCTGCCACCAATGACTTCCATGTCAACCGGATTCTAATGTGTAAAATAAGGTTCAAAGTTGCTTTCTCTGGAGCATTTTCTCGGTCTGCTGAGATTTTGCTCCTCACTGTCCGTTTGGCTCAAATAAAGTCTTGTAAGACTTTGTCTTAGGCTGGGTACCCTTTCCCCAACGAAACATGGGAGAGATCTTGACGGCGGAGCTCTGTAATATTTGGTGGAGTGTTTATTCATTATGTGTCTTCTTAATGAAGGGTGTGAACCTGTGTGTGGTTAAGAAGAAACACAAACATGATGCTATAGACACGCTTTCTCTTTGCCCAGTGAAGCTTCTCACGGGCGAGTCTTCCATCCAGTGCACATCTTCTGAGGAGCTGTGCTACTCACCAGGTCTTCTCTGTCTACCACGACAGGCAGTAGTCACAGGTGCCTATTTAGATGTAAATGTAAACAAATTCAAATAAAATCAAATGGGTAATGCTGGCTGCACTTCAGCCGCCCGGTAGTCCCAGGCTGCTGGCGGCTACACCCCCCGTACAGCCCAGACACAGGACTGTCAGTGCAGGGAGTTCTGCCGGGCAGCTGCGCCCTGGATGACGCACAGAAGGCGCACAGATACAATGATCTGTAGAAAGAGCATGTATCCTGAACAGCTCTGCCACAGTGAACATATGTGAGTGTCAGGGAGGAAGCAAGTAATCTGGCCCGAGGGATTCTCGGCGCCCTCTCAGAGGAGGTGACCTTGGATTTGGACTATAGGCGGTATGATTTGGCGCTATGAGCTGGTGGAGACACAGGTGTTGGAGGGCAGCCCTGCTTTGGGCCAGCTATGTGGCTTTGGGCAGGTTGTTAAACCGGTTTTGTGGGTGAGAGATGAAAGGAAGTAGGGTAGACCTCACAGGGCTGTGTTGAAGACGAAATGAGGCAGACACGCCAGGAGCCCAGGACAGTGTACGGCACATGGTAAGTGCTCCATAAGTATAACTCATTGTTCCAAGACGATCATGCTAATCGGTGGGATAAAGCAGGGAGGGGATAGTTCCACACAGAATGGCTAACACGATCAAAAACACAAGGGACGTGGTCTGTGATGTGAGAGGTTTTTTTGTTTGTTTGTTTTAAAGACTCTTAGGGAATAACCCACTGGGGTTGGAGAAATCAATCACTCAGGCTTTCGAGTGAGGGCTAACCCAAGATTTAGGGGGTAATGTCCAGAGAGCCAGATGAGGGCTGTAGACTGGGGCTGCACTGAGAACAGCCTTGCTAGGGAGTTAGAGCTCTCTCGGCACAAAGGAACCAACTGATAAGCAAGCCCGCCTCTGTTTCGAACACACCTTTCTGTATTCATTCAGCCCATTGGAGTTGGAACTCCTCAACGTGGTCCCTCCTTTGCAGGGTGTTTAGTTACAGTCTGCCGATAGGGGGAGCTAGAGAGGGGCCACCGGAAAGGCAGAGGGAGGGAGCAGGGACGCATCCAAGCACAAAAGCCTCACCTGCACTGGCAGCCGGTTCCTGTCTCTCCCACTCCTTATTTAGCCACCCCCCCCGCCCCGCCCAGAGCAGGTTTTACCATGCCCACTCAGTCAGAGGTTTTGGCCACCACCGGGAAAGTGGCCCTGGGAACCCGAGGCCCAGGTGTGCCTCCAGGACGGCTCCTCTGAGCTCGGGAAGACTCGGCCCCTCCCGTCAGCCTGGAGGGCTGTGCCTCGGGGTCCTCGGCTCCTAGGGCCCCCGAGTCTTCTCTTTGTTCTCTCGCTGTCGGGGGGGACGCTGCTTCCCGAACCACCTTTCCCTGTGACCTTGATGCTCCCTTTTCAGCTTCTCTTCAGTTTTCTTCAGCGCCTGTTGCATCCGTTCTGTCTACGAAGTTCTTGCTGGATTGGATGCTGAGTGATAGCCCGAGGTTACCGGCCTAGAGTGGAGCCTTGTTACCAGACGGAAGGGGCCCGTGTGCCTGCGCCCACCAGAGCAGGGTTTCGCAGCTCAGAAGGTCAGGGTTCATCTGCGGGAAGTGGCCCACCCCAGGCACAGCTCATGCTACAGACGTGGCTCCCCATTGGCTAGGGGAGTTGGGATCCGGTCAGGGCTGTGGTTGTGGTCTCTGACTGGTCAGCGCTAGGGCGGGCAGCTGGTCATTGCCTCTGCTCCTGACCTCGGCCATAGCCTCACTTCGTATGGCTTTGCTGCTTCTCTGGGCTGGGAGCCGAAACACAAACTGAGCCCCAGTTCGACAGGAACTCTCCCTCTGTGCTCAACAGGCCCCAGGCTTTGCCGCCAACATCACTTGATGCTGACCAGCACCCCGCTGTCCCGAGGGCTTGCTGACTGAGCGGACCTGCAGGGGAGGAGGAGGCCGGGGACTCAGGGTGCCGGGTGACGCCCTTTTGAATCAAAGAGAAAGACTGGAAATGAAGTCTTATTAAAGAAATGAAGTTTCTGTGAGTTACAGTTTCCCCCTCCCGCGAGCTCATACACATCTCACTCGGCGTCTAAGAACCTTGCTACCCCCTGGGCATCAGACCCGGGCAGCACGCTCTCATAGACGGAGTGGGCCACGTGGTGACCTGTGGGAGGCCGGGACACTCGAGAACCCCTGCTGCCCTTGTGGCAGAGAGCCGGAAAGTTGACTTGACTCGCGGCAAGATCGGGAACGTGCGGTGCCGGCCCCGCTGGGTCTGAGGACACGGATGTGGTGGTTCGTGCAGATCGACACAGCGGTGGAACGTGCTTGCCAGATGACAAGCCAGAGGGACAGTCACCAGGGGCCGTGGCAGCTGATTCCAGGAGATACTTCAGATGCAACGCAGCTCTAAGTGGAGCCACCTCTGTTGAGTTTCCAGTACTCTGCAGTCACCCTCTGTGGTCCATCCACTTCCACCTCCGCCAGAGAGCCTTCAGAGTCGGTGCTGGTTACCCACCTCTCAAAAGAACACACACGGCTTCACGCGATGTGGATATTTTGTTGAGAGGGAAACGAACCGTTCTCCCACGGGGGCCGTCCATCGGCAGGTGTGTGGCGCTGGCTGTCAGCGGCTCGCGGCACGGGGCACACGGGCCAGTGCGTGGGGACGCTGTTCTCTATTGTGTCTGGTCGCTGGAAGCAGATGCTTTGTCATTGCGTGAACTCGCTTGTCCGTAGCTGCTTTACTAGGAAGCCGTGAAGCCACACTGCCCTGAAGGAGGCTTCGAGTTTTCTTTACGGTCCGAGTATGGGCTTTTGCCTCCTTCTGAGCTGTGTCCTCCAGCTTAGCCTGTATCCGCCCGGAGGGGATAGCTGGCTTCCCTCGCCATGCTTTTGTTTTACTTTTCAGTGTGGTCAGAATCTGGGCAAGGAGGAGAAGTGCTAATTATCGGGTCCCTCCAAGATCCTACTACTTCAACAGATGGAAAAGAATACATAAAGCAAGGAAGGGATTAAGAAATGGTGGAATGCAGTATACACATTTAAGATGGAAGCCTGGTGATGCTTATCATAAGTTCTGGTATTTTCTTTCCATATTCATCCTAGATACCAGAATGCAGGATTTTTATACATTTTAAATACTCAACTCATTGAATTTTGATGGAAACATTTTATGTCTCTATTTGTGATCTATAAATCAACAGCACATGGATAAAGTTTCTCAAAAGTTTGAGGCGTCTGTGGGATTGTTTGTTAAAAAGTTGTTTTATTCTGTACCATAACCTTAATTTAAGATTCACTGAGATCTGCTGGTTTCATCACCTGGCTGTGGCCTTGAACTACCTGTGTCTTCAGCTGTATTTAAGCTGAACTTCTTGAAGTCTCATGCTAGAACTACACATTATTTTATAATTGTCAATGGACGGTGGACTTTCAAAGGTGGTTATACAAGAAGACTCTGGTCCAGTTTCTAGGGTGCCAGTGATGAAGAAATAAATAACTTTCCCCCATCATACTGTCTCCTAATAATCGTTTTAAGTTGAAAGTCACAGCCGTAAGAGGCAATAGGTTAAACATGAATTGGAAACACCATTTTCAGTTAAACAAGCAGAACTATAAGCTTAAGAACACATCGACTACCTAAATTACTCCTTCCCTATTTCATATTTCCATGTCAGAATCAACTTCTTAAACAAGGCTGCAAGGTAGAATCATTTACTTAAATATTTTAAGATCTCACATGCTAAAAGTCGTCTGAGCTCATTTGGAAGCCGAGAGTCTCGGGAGCGTTTCTCCCCCTCGGGTGGTCCCCGCCATCGTGATCGGGCCAGACGCACACCAGGGGCACTTCGCTCAACAGCGCGTCAGCGCGAAGTGCAGGCCACTTCGCGTCTGCATCCGTGCAGATGACGCCGGATAGTGTTCGCCCCGTAATTGTAATTACAGCTCCTGGTCCACTCGGTCACAGCTGACAATGACTGTAACGGGCTATAATCATTACTTAACAAAGGAAGACAGCAAGAGGAACAGGTATCTTTCTCCCTCCATAAATACCCAAAGATTTGAAACGAAACCTTTCTCACCACATGTACTGTTTGAGTAGAAATGAATCAGACTGCTACGAAGTGACTGGCCAATGTGTGAGGCCCTCGGATCTTCCACTCTGGGCCTTGCTCACGCACTTGGCAACTTGCACTTGGCAGTCAGTCGGGGCTGCCGTTGGCGGGGTTTGTCGTCTCCAAGGAGGCCAGCCCGGACTCCCAAGAGGACAGAAGCAGAAACTCAACATCACTTCCACCATGTGTTTCAGTCCCAACAACAAACAGGACCCGTCCAGATTCAAGAGATGCGGAAAAACCAGACTCCCACTCTTGATGGAAAGCGAGGGAGAGTCACATTGCAAAGGGGCGTGGCAGCGGGACGGCAGGGAACACTTTGCAAACAATCTACTCCCGTTCTCCTGTGTCCTCGGGCCTTCACCAAATGGAATCTGGGCTGGCGCAGGGGATTCTCCCACAAGGGATTCAAGACAATAGAGGGAGCAGGTGCATCTCCTCCCGAGGAGAAAGTTCATCCTGCCTTTTGCCTGTGACTGTACCTTCTACTCCAGTTCTTGTTAAGTTTGTAAGTCTCGGAATAGGGGGAAGAGAAAGGTCCATCTGACTTTCCTAGAGAGAAAAAAATCCCCCCAGAAGGATGTTATCTACTGGTGAGTTAGCAGTGTCTCAGGAGAACGGGAACAGGTACGGAATTTATGGGACACCGTGCAAAATAAAAAAGCAGGCATATTGTTCAAAAATGAGAATCCCCAGATTAAGACATCAGCCAAGCATGGGGCCCTCTGTGTGCAGGGCCCTGGACCAGAGACGAGCCCGTGGCTACCAAAATAGGCACAGGTGGGCGGGTCGGCCGTGTGATCTCCCTTCTTCACACACAACCAGAGGAGGACGTCTGTGAGATTCTTCTCAATACCTTTCATGGTTTTTCCTAAGGAGGGTGTAGCTGGAAGTATAAAGCTGCTGCCTTCCACTCCCCTGCTGGAGACGTGTTCACTGAGGATTATCCAACTGAGTTCTTCCCGCAAGGAGTGGCTCCTTGCCTAGGCCGCACGTCCGTGGACAGAGGGGTATGGACGTGCATGGTGATGGCAGACCGAACAATGCGAAGTGCTGGCTGGCCTGGGAGGGGGACGCCTCAAAAACTGTTCGGTGAGGAAGCAGAAGAGAGGCAGACTTGTAGGTAGGGAGCAGGCTGGCGGCTGTTGGGGAGGGGGAGGGGAGGGATGGAGCAAAAAAGAAAAAGAACTTGTGGGCATAGACAGTCATGTGGTGATTATGCGGGGGAGGGGGAGGGGGAGAGGGGATAAGGGGGATAAACAGTGATGGAAAAAATACAACAAAAAATTGTTAAGGGAGGACACTATTTCTTTTCCACCTTGTGTGTTTGAATGGCACTGCTGTCCCTGAGAATTAATTTGTCCCTGTGCGCTGCAGGGGTACATGTGTTTGTGTGTGTGTGTGTGTGTGTTCAACTTCCATTTGGACAATAGAATTGAAAAGGACATCTGCCCTTCACCCTGCTGGGGCGATGCCAACCTTGACCAGATTCTGAATGCCAAGTCCACCAGCCTCCACCACAGGGCTGCTGGCCTCGTGGGGACGGACACTGTGCGGCGGTTCCAGGTCCGAGCCAGTCTCACCCGAAGGTGACTCCAGAGGCCCGAGGTCCGTCCCACTCGGTGGCCACGGAGGGGTCATTCTACACCACTGACCATTACTCCCGATGCCGGTGACGCGCCGGTGATTTGGACATGGGCGGTTAAAGAGATGAGCACAATTGACTCACATTCTCCAGGACCTTCCCCGACAAAATCAAATACTAATTACAACGGAAAAAAAAAGTGTTTTATTCCAGGGATGATAATCACACTTGAACACATTAACAGACGTATGCTAGTATTTAAATTAGAAGAGTTCTTTGATAAGACAATCACATGCAAGGTAAGATACAAGGCACCGGCGCTCAAAAATTTGAAAATGCCAATTTTCTGGTTCATGTTTGATCTTTCTCCCAGTGGCCCGAGGCCAGTGAGGAGGGTACACGTGTTGCTCCCAGTCTCAGAGAATACCTCCAACTCAGGAAAAATGCAGGAGAAATCTTTTGTGTAAAAGCCATCTTCATACCTGATTGTAGTTCATGAAGTTACTCTGTCATACAAACACTCACGAGGACATTGCAGACCTTTCAGAGATGTTTCGGTAAAACAGGCACACTGAAAAGTCTCTAGCTACATAGGGGACACTTTAACGAACATGCTACAGCCTTGTTTCTGCTTTTGAAAAATCTAAACAAATGGTTTGTTTTCAACGCGATGTTAGTGACCTGGGCATTATATACAATGAAGGTTTATTTCACATGGGTCTCTGGAAGTCAGCCAAGAACTAAAAAGAAAGGAAAACAGGCCCCTGGGTTATTAAAATAGTGGTCACATGATTTTATCAAAATTCGATAAATTTTAAAAACTCATCAAACTATTTTCTTCTGCTTTACACTGACTTGTACGTATCTCGATTATCTTATTTTGAAATCCATAACAGACTCAAGTCTGGCCTAAAATTACAAAGGGGACATAAAAGGTTTGTATCACGTTTTATATTGCACTCGAGACCAGTTAAAGCAGAAGAGAATAAACGGAGTATTAACCCCCGCAAGGGACACTATTTTAGGAATATCTTCTCCGACCCAACACTCCCTTACCAACTCAGTGTGTGCTGAACCCTTGCTTTGTGTAAGAGTTAAGAGCACTAGTATTCATGTCTACACAGAGGGCACATTTTTAAGGTCTCTAAGTTCCCTAAGTGGCACCCCACAGCTGGAGGAATAATTCATCTCCTGTCCCCTCCAGCCCCGGACTGCCCCGCTCCCAGGGTCTGGCCGGGGCCTCTTGATTGAGGGGAGAGGAAGTCCACTTGCTCCGTTCTGGTCTCACCAGCTGTTGGCGATTCCTGAAATGGAAGAAGGCCGGAGGGATACAGACAAAGGCACTGAAGAGAGACCTGGAGAGGCCACCCTGGAGAGAGAGGCAGTCTTAAAATAGCCCTAGTGGGTGCGTGATGTTCTCCACACCTCCGGGGGAGAGAGGGCGGGAGCGTAGCTGTCAGTCCTGCCCTTCCTGGACCAGGTCCACTTAAGGTGGAGCAGGGACTCGTGAGGTCTTTGCAAGGAGGGGACCATTTGCCTTTTTCTCTACAACCAAACGTTCTGGTGGCAGTGTGTGCATGCAGCCCTGTGGGTTTCCTGAATGAGTGGTCTTCACTTCAAAGGGGGCATCAGCTGCTCTTCTCTAAACCATCTGCATATTTTGTATTAATATGCAAAATACAGAGACTCAGTGACAATGACCAACATTAGAAGGTTAATGCACTATTTGAAGAATATAGACCATTTAAAATGCAATATGTGAATAATTTTGGTTCGAGTTCACGTTTTTCCTTTTCGTTCTAAAAACATAAAATGGGGAACACATTTTTTAAAAAGTCAGCAGAAGTGCATATGGGAAAAACACACGGATATTTTAAACACACTGCGTCCAAATACAGTAACCGTGCTACAACAGTGGTACCCGCTAGCACACTCACGATGGAAATGGATAGCTCACTGCTTCCCTGGTGTTCTCACACTCGCTCTGACCCTAATCTTGAGCACATTCGAACATGAAATATACGCGGTGCCGGTGACATAGAAACCTCTGCGGCTCTGGGTGTTGGAATCGCTTTACTGCCTTATCGGTGCTGTAGGAAGTTCTGCAGCAGCGTGGGCAGCTGGAGCTGGGGGATGAGGTGCAGGCGCGGCCTCCCGATGCAGCTGCGGATGCACAGCCGGCAGAGCTGGCTCAGGGAGCTCGGCGTCGCTGCGCGGGCAAGAAAGTGTGTCGGTTAAAGTCAGACAATGAGGTTTGCTATGCTGCAAGATGCACTACACTACGTACAAGCAGAAAATAGGTGCAGGGCTTTGTAGCCAAGTAGGGCGGGAGGACCCCTGTACTAGGGAAATTCATATATGCCTTTATGAGAGCTCATTGGAACTGAGACCGTATATTCCATATATGTTCTTTAAAACATGTAGTCTGCAGGCTTATGAAATGATGGCTGCACTCAAAACCTCAGAAACAGATACTATTTTTTGAAGGAGATATAAATCAAAGAAGGGTCATGCACTACAGAAAGGAATTCTTAAGTTTTTTTTCTCAGGCTAGATTTACTATTTAAGCCAAAGCTTAACTTGATTGTTGTGCTTTGACCAGACTTAAGAAACCCTGTTTTAGAACAAAAGTAAGTGTGGAACTGTTTCCCAGTTAGGTTCCTACGACGCTCGAGGGGAGGCGCCCGCCCCTATAAAACAGGGCGTGTCTGTAAACATTTATCCGCAGACACTAAACAGAATCCCATACTATGCATTGCCAAACACTGGATGTATTTAACTTAACCAAAGGAATAGACAGCTCAGGTAAGATGGAAAAAAGAAAATGAAGATCACTGTAATGATCTTTTCCATTCCCCAGAAAACAGTCCAAATCTTACGCCACTACTATTCTGCATGCCAGCAAAAGGGCCTCCGCGTCCCAGGCCGACATGTCTGCGGCTCCGACGCCCGCCTGCCTCCTGCTCACCTTCGCGCTGAAGCAGTAGCCTCTCCACCAGGCTGCTGGAGGTGGCCACGTCCACGGGCCGCAGAAGTTCCGTGTTCTTGGCGTTGATATCGGCCCCGAATTCTAGCAGTAAGTTGACGATTTCCGTGCTGGACTGCTGAGCGGCGGCGTGTAGCGGCGTATCCCAGTATTTGCCTTTCTGCACGTCAGCGCCTGCGTGGCGACCGGGATGGCCGTGAGCACACACACGGGTTGTCCTCAGAGACACCTAAGCACGAGGCGTGGCAGGAGGGGGCCCTCCGCCCCTCTGTCGGGAGTGCTTCGCACCCACACACACTGTACATGTGCACTACCTTAAAGCTTGGTGCATCTGGATGGGAATGCACACATTTGTTACATTTTCTAATATCTTCTGTATCCTGAAAATGTCTACTAATAAAAAATTTAAGTTTGAACAGTTCCGAAATTAATGGTACTATTATATGTGTTATAAACAGTGTGCAGTTAGGTTGACTCGACTGTATTCATCGTGATTGACAGCTCTTAGGATTATTCAAGACCGTATTGCTTTTCTTCTTTCCATTTATTTTAAGGCAAGAGGGCCCTTTTGTTGTTCGGAAAACCCATGATTCTAGTTATGTGAGCTCTTTACGTGAAATGCGTATAGATTTTCCTGTCACTTCTCACTCACGTAGTTTAAGTCGATAAACACATAAAGGCATTGAGCTTCTTGACTGGAAAGGCACATTATATTTCTGCATGCAAAGTAAAAGTTTTAAAAATGCTTAACATTTAAAAATACCTCACAGGGGAAATCACCTACTGCACAGCTTTTTGCCTTAGAGCAAGCCCTAGCACGTGGTGGTCGCTGAATGCATTGGTGGGGAATAAACGCTATTTAAAGTGCGAAGAATAACAATCCCATTTTCCGGTGCGTAAATGGTTACAACGCCAAGAAATGTCTATCAATAAAAATGCACCGGTCCTTTCCAGCTCCGTTTTCTGGGACGTTCTGTCAAACTAACATTTGTATGAGGCAGCGCCTTCTAAGAGTCCCTTTATGACCCTCCTGCTGCTTTCAGGTTTCAATAAATGTAATCGCTTTCAATATTTTTAACCCAATGTAAAATGTTTAGCGGGAAAATTACAGTGTACAACAAAACCTCCATAGAGAAAGCATGCACTCCATTGGTTGTATCCGTTTTCTGACACAACAGTGCCCAAGAATAATAGTCCATCCACAATTGCTACCTACTTTTCAGTCTCTTCTTTTACCCAGTGTGAAATACTTGACAGAAAGAAAATATTCTGAGCCAACTGTGGAAAGGTGGTAAAGAATAAACTCCTCTGGTCGCATAAACTCCTCTGGTGATCTAGATGGGAGACCATGGAGAGGGAATGACCATCGGCCGACAGTGAGCAGAGTTCGCCTGGAGGAGCCTTACTAGCAACGGGAGTGAAACAGGCGAAGATGGGTTTCAGACATTTCGAGCTGAGCTAAGACACTGGGAGTAAAGGGAAGGAGTTACTAAAGATACGTCAGGGTGTATCAGAGGCCAAACGAGTGTTGTGCACAATGGCACGCAGAGACACCCCTTTACTCGTGTTGCGTACACTTTAAGTGCCCACCACAGGAGAGGCACCGTGCTAGAGGAAAGAGATGGCAGGGAAAGAGGGAGCCTGCACCCTGCAGAAGCCCCCAGCCCTGGACGGGGGCGACCGCCCTGGTCTCAAAGGCCAGGAGAAGTGTCTCAGGGGCTACAGCTGAGCCTCGAGGAACTGGTTTGTTGCCCGTGAGCGGGCACGGACTGTCCACCTCTGCAGGTGAGTGGGACAGAGCTCGCGGTCCGGGAACGTGGGGGAGCCCCTGTGTCTGCTGGAGGATAAGGCTACCGAGGCAGCTACTGGCCCTGCAATTTCTTCTGAAGGTTTTCTGCACAGATCTGTACCTATCAGGCAACACTATATTCCACCTTGAAGATCTGGATGTTAGGATTTTTGTAAGCAGGGGTTTTGGAGCTTTGGGGTGAAGCAGAGTTCATCCAGAATGGCGTTCTTTTTATTGGTTATGTGCTTATGTGCGGGGATGCTTAGCATGAGAACACTTTTAGCATGGAGATGTAATTTTTAATGAGGCTAGCGCAGAGATATAAGCGGAGAGCTGAGTAACTGCTCGTGGGTATGCATGGGATGCAAGAGGCTCTAAAGATAATTACCAGCGTAGAGAAGCTTCCGGATGCAGTGGAACTGCTGCGACTGGCAGGCCGTGTAGAGAGGCGTCCCCAAGTGAGGAATGTCCTGGTCGACGTCTATGCCCCATGATATCAGTATCTCCAGACACTCGTGGTGACCTGCACACACCAAGGAGAGACAGTTTCCCTTTGCTTCACGCCCGCCCCACCCCCCACGCCTCCCCCGACTGCCCCCTCCCCTGGCCCGGGCCCCCTGTGGCTGTCACCTTTGCTGGCGGCCTCATGCATGGGAGAAGGAAGGCAGGACTCCAGCTGGGGTTTGGCGCCGTATTCCAGCAGGAGCGCCGTGCAGCTCGCGCTGCCCTGCGAGCAGGCGTTGAATAACGGGGTCACGCCGTCGATGGTGATCGCGTTGACCTGTACCAACCGACGTGTGAGTGGGGGAGTCGGAGAACCACAGGGACTCGCTGCGGGGCATTTCTACAAGTGAGGTGATCTGCTCACAGGCGTAACCGGGGAACCGCGTGCCGTGAATAGCACACAGTGTACTTAGCTCCGACACATGGGCAAGGATCGCTGGGAAACTTCAGGGGGTACCCAGAGACGGGATGTGGTGGAAAGTTCACAGGAGTGAACATGCAATGAGTAGGAGCCATGAAAACATACCCACTCGAGGATGAAAACACAAAACCGGATTCCACGGCCAGGTGCCTTTGAGTTGGGAAACAAGGCAGCGAGTGTGACGGTGGCGACAGTGTGAAGGAGCCACTTTGCCGGTGGCAGTTTAGCTATTTCTGAGAACGTATCTAAGGAAAACCGTCCGGGAGGTGAGCAAACACCCTAGGCGTAAAGATGTCCATTTACTGTTACTTGGAATCTCGAGGGCAGGACGCAGCCCCAGGGCAGTCCACATCGTGATTGGAAACCCTTCTTCCAGTGCAAACGAGAGGGGGCGGGGGCAAGGGGACAGCTTTCTTTTCACTCCGCCGCCGGTGAAAACTACTGAGGAGGAAGGGGAGGCGGAGGGAGAACTGGGCCGGGTCCGCCTACTCGGGGGGAGACGTCACAGTGTTCACGTTTGGGGCGGGGACTCACATTAGCTCCAGCTTCCAGAAGAGTCCGGGCACACGCCACGTGGTCGCCCAGGCAGGCCTCGTGCAGCGGGGTGACATGGTCGATGGTCACCGCGTTCACGCTGTACCCCTAAACGGGACGGGGATGATTTTGAAGGGTGAGCAGAGAGTGCTCTCAAGTCATCTGTACGACTGTCGTGAGAGGCGGGTGTGAAAAATCAAGAAGTCTCGGGAAGTCAGGCGTCAGGGGAGCACGACAGGCCAGGCCGACGCCAGAGCCAGTCCGCTGTCAAGGAGTCTGAGCTGCATAATTGTCACACTGTCCTATCCAGGCCCCAAACCGCTTTAAGTATTTTGTTCAGTGCATTCTGAGAGTATTATTTAAATTTGGCTTACTCACCTTTTTTTCTCTTTAGGGATTGTTTGGGTTGCTACTATTTTTTTAATTGTTTTGTTTTGTAGAACTAGAGACTATTCAGAGCCCTGGCTGGTGTGGCTCAGTGGACTGAGTGCTGGCCTGTGAACCAAAGTGTCACCGGTTCGATTCCCGGTCAGGGCACAGGCCTGGGTTGCAGGCCAGGTCCCCAGTAGGGGGCGCAGGAGAGGCAACTACACACTGATGTTTCTTTCCCTCTCTCTTTCCCTTCCCCTCTGTCTAAAAATAAATAAGTAATCTTTTTTTTTAAAGACTATTTAGAATCTGGATTGCTCGCTTTAACTGGGGCTATAAAATCCCCACTCAGCCCACAGTGGAGGAAAAATGCCCTGAACCGTAGTAACCTGCCGTGTGAACGTTCGCCAGAAAGCAGGTCTGACGAGGCCCTGTGCTGGTGGGCGGCTCAGAGCTTGATGCGGGGTCACACTCGGGTTGCAAGCCTTCCTCCGTAAGTCAGAAATTGTTCTACCTGGATGAGCCCGTTAACCTCTAAATTTTGGGGTCATCATGAGTACTGAATGAGATGATGCATAAAGAAGCAATTGCTGTTACTGTGCCCAGCGTCCAGAAAAGGGTGGATGTTATTATTCAAACCCTACAACTAAACATGTGTAGGGTTTTTGTTCCAATTAAACTAATGATATGGGACTAAAATAATGAAGTATTATCAGGATCTTAGACTCTTCGCCTTCTTGCTATTTTTGGGAAGTCATGGCCGGTTGACAATCACGCTAAACCCTATAACAAATGCAGATGCTCAGGGCCAAATCCCGGCAACATATTAGAGATTACCAAGCTCTCTAATGCCTGGTGGAGGTGAGGCATCTCCAAGTGAAGGAAAGAAGAGTCACCCTAAATCGTTGCCACTAGCAAGTGGCGATTTTTAAGAGCCCTGATATGAACCTTTCGGAGGCTCTGAAGGGGCCGGCCGGCAGTCAGACCTGGAGAACTGATTCGAGAATGGCCAGATGACGGGAGCACCTGCAAAGTTGGGATTCCCTTTCCCGTGGGGCTTAGAGGCAGCCCCTGACTCTGCCTGGCCGGCCTGGCCGTGGACAGGACATGCATGTTATGGAAGATCCTAAGACGTCTCGCCTCTCAAAGACCCACACAACCCCTTGAGGGGGTTCCCCTGTGGACACTGATGATGTTTCTGCAGGTTATTTCTTTTTCCATCAAGTGATGAGCAAACAAAACAGCCACATGGTTATCAGAGGAGCAGACGGCCTAAAGGGGACATCTCACTCTAAACCTTCCCTTCACAGAGGAGACAGGGCGCTCAGAGAGGTTGGGGTTCACCCCTAGCACCAGCCAGCCTGGTCGGGAGGCCCCCAGCCCCAGGGTGGTGCCCTGCACCCCGGGCCACACTGCCCTTCCCCCTCAGGGCTATCGGGCAGAACCTCCTCTCTGATCATGCTGGGGAACACGGGGGCAGTGACTTTCTGGCCCGGGTGTGCAGCCGAATCATGCTGGGAAGGTGCAGAAATGCATGGGCCAGGCCAGAGCACTTTTTCTGCTGAGTCTGAGGAGCAGGCGGGTGCAGAAATGACCGTTCTGTCACTCTCACAGGCACACCCTGCTGTGTTCCAGACACCCTGGCGTACAGAGGGTGGCCTGGGCGTCTGCTCTCGTCACCCGTTTGGATATCTCAGGCTGAGCTAAGTCTGCAACAAGCTGAACACATTGTACAGAGCGAAGGATATTTAAAATGCTTAGCAAATAATACACGATTCTAATTATTTCTTGCTTAAACATGCCTATCAGTAAACAAATGTACTGTATGCGAAATCTGAACCGTGAAGACACAAGAACATGATGTTTCACCTGTGATAACAATGTTCGCAGGGCGAGGAGGCGACCTTGACTCGCTGCTTCGTGTAGCGGTGAGCGGTCTGCCCAGGAACCTGCCGGAAAAGAAAGGAAACAGGCGCCTCTGAGCCCAAGTAAACCCTACTACATGGGGTCAGTTCCTGGGGAGCAGAGACTATGTATCTTCGCGGCCACAAGGGGCCCCAGGCGTGTGTACATCAGGAAGCTGGATTCCTCTGCAAAGGATCCTGACGGGCGGTCCCCGCATCCAGGGGCACCCGGGTCTGGACTTGCCCTGCCCCAGACGTACCGTGCCTTTGGAATTCCCTGCAGGGAGTAAGGGGGATTAAGGTCTCTAGATCCATCGCCAAAACAAACAAACTAAAACTTACCTCTGCCTCCTGGTTTTTCGGGGCAGACCCTCTCCCCCAAACCTTTTTCGGCACCTTCAGCGGAGAAGGCAGCCGGAGCAGCGGCCTCCCCATGCCCCCGGCCCCTCCATGCCCCCAGCCCCGCTGTGGTTTCCCGTGTGGGGCTGTGAGGGGCTGAGCCCCGAGGGTCCTGAAACGTGGAGCAGCCAGTGGGCCCTACACAGGGGCGGCACAGGTCAGAGGAGCACACTGTCAGCTTTGTCGGGAACGGTGCCGACGGTGGGGCCGGTGGCACCGAATCCCAACTGCCCTGAGCCTTGGTTGGGGGTGGGAGGGGATACTGACCCGTCACATCCCCGAGTCCCCCCCTTCCGACATGCCTTTCGTGACCCTCCCCTTAGAAAAGTGCCCGCCCCTGTCCCTCTCTCCCCAGCCCCCCCCAGGGCACCCAGCCACCACCCAAAGGTGCACCCTCCCCTCCCATCTCTTCCCACCGGGTGGGTGGTCCACAAGGTGTCTTTGTAGGTTCCTAGATTGGTCCACGGTGATTGTCCTGTGATTCGAACAGGACCCGCATTGCTGGTTCCATTTAGTGGACACGCGAGAGCACGTCCCCTGTTTTAAAGGGACTCAGTCCGCAGACTACGCTCACCAGAAAAGCATTCACTTAAAGGCCGTCGGCGGCTGATGCATGCATTCCTGCAGTGCTGACCAGAGAGAAAACCCTCCCAGGGCAAGGGGACCACGGTTGCTGGCGCCCGTCTCCTTGTCTACTGCCCCCTCCCCGCTTTTGGGGTCCGCGGGCTGCAGTAAATAAAAGTACTTTTTAAGAACTGCTCATCAACTCCCGTGCAGTATAAACAAAGTCCTCGAGCTGCTTCCAGACGTGAACTTCATGAAGAGCGCGTCTGAAGCCTGTTTCAGTGGGTCATTGTCCTCTAGAAACTGCCGCATTGTTCCTGCACCGCATGCCTCGGGAAGGGCCCTCGCGTGCTTCTCTGCTCCTGCAATGTGGTCTGACGTTGGGACTTTCCCACCACACCGGTGGCGGCCAGATCAGTCCGCTGAGTGAAATGCGGGGCCTACGTCACCAGGCTAATGAAACGACCAAGGGAACCTGGTGTAGAGGACAGAAGTCAACCATCGCCAGTCTTTCTCTAACCAATGATATGTGGGGTTTTATTAGAAATAGAGTTCCCGGGGGGGGGGGGGAGGGGGGAGAGTCTTTCTTCTACTTCCTGGCGCTGATGTACGAGTCACAGTAATAACAGCTAACGCCGAATCATGTTCGCTGTGTGCACAAACCAGTCTAAGCACCGTGGACAGTATCTCATTTCCTTGTCACAACTCTCCGAGGTAGATACAATTATTATTTCTACCTTAGTCGGAGAGCTGAGAGCCCGAAGAAATGAAATCCTTCAAAGGGAGTCGCATGTCTTACTCCAGAGCTGACCTAGTTAATGGTGCTGCACTGTCTTGCTTTCGCATGTCCGTCCGGGGTTATTTCCTGCTCGCCCCCCAAAATCAGTAAGCCAGACACACCCAATTTTTTGTGTTTTCAACCGAAAGAAGAGTTACTCTCATTAGCTTTTGTGTGTTATTTCTTTACAGTGTGCAATGCTCCTATGATATGTTAGCAGCAGAATTGAAATTAATATGGCACACCAATAAATATGCATTGATAGGATAGTTTGGTGGCAAAATAATGATTGATAAGACATAGGAACATTATATTCTCACTGCATGAAATGCAAACATCGCCATCATAAATAATATTTTGGGGAGTAAGTATGTTTCGAGTTTCAGCTTCTAAGATAAAATCTGATGCTTTACAAATCTCACACAGCCATTTGTTCCATCACTAAACAACTTGATGGAGGAGTGAAACTCAGCACACTCCACAAGATGTATCAATGTTCACTGTGAATATTGAAACGAGATAATGATAATATTCACTTTCCAGACAGCACGTGTGTGAAACCACTATGTTCGGTTTAATCAGCAGAGCAGCAGTAAAGTAATAAGGTTTCTAGAAATCAATGCTTAAATATGTTTGCATTTAAACGATGTTTTAATATTTATAATAATCATGTGTGCCAGGCTGTATAAGGACGTAATAAAGTTCATTACCCTTAACTTATCTCTACCAGCTGTTCTGCTGAATCAAACGAAGTCCGCTGGCTAGCACTGTGTGCTCGTCCTTCATCATTAGCGACCACGGCCGCGAACCAGACGTGGGGACCGGGGAAGGCCTAGGGCACCGGCGGCAAACGCAAGGCCCGCAGGCCGAATCCGGCCCTCCACCTTGTTTCTCCTGAGCGGCAGCGCCGAGCTCCGAGCTCCTAATTAGGGAGTCGTTCCATGTATACAGCCCTAAAATTACATGCGGTCCCTTCAAGGCAACCACAAGGCTGATGTGGCCCCCGGTGAACATGAGTTTGCACCCCTGCCCTGGAGAAACGGCCCTCGGATTCCTCCTGGGTGCACGCTTTTCTAGAATATGACGGAGACCTTTAAGTGGCAGCAAAGTTAACAATATTTGCACCTACAAGAAACTGGTTATTCTTTTGCGCACAAAGTGTTTGTCCATCAAAATGATTGCATTACCCTCTGACTCATTTCAGCACTGCTTGCTGGTGTTCACAAAAAAGAAACAAAAAGCAGGAGGAATAAAAGAAAAGGGCCCCTGAGAAAACAGGCCACACGAGGACTAACGCAGAGAAACAAAGCCTTCATTGAATTGACCACCTACATTTCCACGCCCAGGGTCCCTCCCACACTGCCCCACAGCTTTCTGTCCCCACTCCGTCATTATCCTTTTTTGTTACCAACAGGAATCCATCACGGCGGGAGAACAAAAGGCTGACGCCAGAATCTACGCACTGTAGGTTGTGTAGTTATTGTAAATAACTGTATTTGCTATTATTTCTATTACTCTGACTTCCATTGGCCTGAAAAGGGAGTTCCTGCTGGGAAGGGTAGGCAGGTGGACAGAACCAGCGGAAACGTACCATGTTGAGGGGGGGACCCCTTGGCTGGCCAGGCAGAGACTGGGGCTTGGAAGAAATAACTGCCCTGCTCTTTCCCCAGCTGAGCCCAGGGGGCCTCACTGCGTAGGACCCCTGAGGTCCGTCATTATGGCGTCCAGCAGGTGAGAGCAGGAGGAGACCAGGAGGTGGTGATCAGAGGGACAGGAGAAAGCCGGTGGGGTCTAGCGCCCAGCAACCGCGGGAGGAAAGGATGCCCAGGCAGGCCTGGGTGGTGGCCTCCCCGCACCCTGTCAACATGCGAGCCCCTGATGTCACAAGATGGGGAAAGCGCTCCATGCGAGACAGCACCAAGCGGGATTAGGAAGGAGCTTCTCGGGGCTGCTGGGTAAATGCACAATCAATAATCCCTAGCATTCTGCTGGACCTCAACTGGCAAATGAGGCAGATTTTAACAGGCATTTTAGGGAGCAACCTTTTTTTTTCCTCCAAAACCAAGGAGACTCAAGCCATAAATAACAGCATCTATTGCCCGGAATGCTTTTCAGTGCTATCAACTTAAATAACTATATGAAACAATTGCATGACTTATAAATGTATTTAAGGCAACAGTCAACTACGGCTGCTACATTTTCTTCCTAAGTGAACTATCCTAAATAAAGACATGACAATTTATAAAAAGAGTAATTTATAGCACATGCATGCTATTCAATTTAAAAAACAAACAAACTTTTTTTGTTTGAATTCTGCTTAGTTAACTCCCCGGCAACCCCTCCTCATTTGCTTCCTGGTAAATCCTTGGAAGAATTTCTGTAATTAATCTGGAAAGAGGGGAGAATTAAAGGGTACCCCGTCCTGCTCCAGTTTCTGTTTAGAACTCTGTCTTCACCCCTCCCCACTTCTCCCCTTCAGAATCTGAAATTTAGCGACGGTGCATCTCTAGTCAAGGGCGTTCAACACCACATATCTCAGCTTTCAGTACGAGCACGCTCTACGTTACAGAGATCTGCAAGCTTCCTCAAGACCAAACAAGCGATAACTATCTCTGTACACGACAATTCAGCCACCTTACAATCTCATTAGACCCTTATTCGGTGCCTATGGTTTTTTTTAAATGTTCAGTTGAAGGCTTTAGGATAAATTATTCAGTGTGAAAATCGTTTCACAAATTATCTGCCGCTTTCACCACTCGAATCAAAGGCCTGCTCTTATGGTTCCTCTGTCTCTCCCCAGGAGGTGACTCCGGATATATTTAGAAACAACAGCAGTTCCCAGACACCTGGTATGTAATTTGCAGGGAGAGCGGCTGCCCTGGTTTGTAAACATCCCATCGCTGGAGCGAAAACACACGCGGTCTGGGATACACACGGTTGGGTGAGGGTCTGCACCGTACCCAGGTCGCCGTCTCCCCAGGGCACCTCCAGCCAGCCGCTGCTGAGGCGGATCCGGCTCATGGCTCTTGTTTTTTTTTTCTCAGCATGAAAACGTGACTTGTCACTTGCTAGCTCTCTTCGGCCATTTCAGGGAGCTCTGAGCTTCGTGTAACGTGACCTTGCACCTTCAGAGAGAAAAACAGCTTTTGAAAAGCTGATTTATTTTCAAAATGGCCTTTCCTTACTATCACCCCTCTTTGAGAAATGGCTGGTCCTAACTTTATTTATTTTTTCTCCTTACAGGGAGTGCCCTGCAATGAAGTGAAAGTATTGCAATTTGATCTCTGCCCATGGTTGTGATGAG